TGAAGTGTATGATCAGTGTTTTGTAGAAAGGGTGTAAGCGACGTTTATTAATAGCAGTAGAGCTCTACTACAAGGAGTTCCTTGTGAAAGAAGTACTGTTAAGCAGTAATGTGAACATTACTGCGTTCCGGTTTTGAAGGGTGCTGGTGAAACTACAGGCACATGGGATTTGTGAACTTATGTATCAGGGCGACGGGCGCAGTGGCAGTGTCCCTCAGATATTTGCGATTTAAAGCTCTGAGTGGCGCTATAACTGTTATGGACAGGCGTGTCGCTTAGCACCGGGCCCACGACTTGGTATTTAATTAAAATAAAAAATTGTTCAAGGAAACACGTTTTAGGTTTTAACGACTGATTAAAAATATTTACGTTCTGGTTTCAATTCAATTTTAACTCAGGACGTAAAACATGCTCCGCTGAAAATTTCGAAATGTGACTTACGCCCTTTCCACAAAATACCGACGATACGTATGTTAAAGTTAAAAGGCTGTCCGTGCAAAAAGTTTTTCCTTTATTTAATTCAAAATCAAGGTAATACACATAGCTCTTTTCCACTTCGCTTTGCCTGGGCCCTTAAAGTTCAAAAGTAACTTTTCTGCCGTTTGGGTCTCGCTAGGTAAATCCCTGTGCTCTACAATAAGTAGGTACCATAATTAAGAAACTTCCTGGGTACCAGAATGGCCAGATGCGAATTTCGGACAAGTTTATTTACTAACTCCGTTCTGACTTAAAAACATGACTCTACATATACTTTCCCAAAACACAACAAACAATACGTGATTTGAATTCATCAAATCACGTATTTCTTTCAAATCAAACATTTAAAAAAATATGACTAACCAGTTTGTTATATGCCTCAAGGAACAGTATACTGAAAACAAATAATTCAATCGAATGGATGAAATTTTTCTTAATGTCCGATCTTTGTATTAATAATTATAACAAACTAGTGGAGTAATTTTTCAAAAAATAATTGAATATCATGGTAGTAAAATATTGTGATATTGAATAGCCTTTAGGGTCGAGACTACCTCAGCTGGAATTCTAATTTTTCCCATACCAATACGGTTCAATTTGCCTTGTACGGGCGGCGGGACACTGGCTATATTTATGAATTTATTTTTTTATAAAAAGTTTTTTTTGTAAAATATCGAGGTAAGTTTGTGTTTTTTTCTACCGTGAAAATTTTTAGGAATTGTGTTTTCACACCGTATAGTAATCAGTGTATATTCTCATTTTTACTATGTATTTTTTTCAAAGTAATTGATTCAACACTTCCACTGTTATGCCGAATCAACCAAAGCCGTTCGAGGTAGATATTATAATTTTTTTTTAATTTTAATTTAGATTTCTGTGCTTGTACCAAACGTCCAAGGAAAGCGTAAGGTGCAGTTCACACAGTGGAACGCACTTTCACACAAATTGCGCTGTTTCGCGCACCCTCACTTTTAGAATGTAATTATCGCATGGCTCACATACGAGAGCACGTACTAACGAGGATTTAAGCAAATTCATATGTCGCGACTCAATTTAGACCTGCGTAAAAGAATTTCGACGAATCTCAATTAAGATCTTAACATTATTGCCCTAAGCGAGCCGTGTTCCGGGAAAACTCTGTAATTAATTTACATTACATTCTGCCATTGTTTTAATTATTTACAAAATAGAAATCGCTGGTATTTGTTGTGCGATACTGTTGTTATTGGTTTACAGCAATTTTTTAAACATTAGTAATTACGTATATATTTTTTTAGAAGTGACGGGACGAACAAGTCGTGCGCGTGATGGTAATCTACACGCCTGTCCATAACAGTTGCAGTGTCACTCAGGTCTTTAAATCGCAAAGATCTCAGGGGCTCTATCGCTGCGCCCGTCACCCTGAGACGTAAGTTGACAATCTCATGTGCTTGTGATTTCACTAGCACCCTTACCCTTCAAGACCGGAACACAGTATTGCTGGCACTACTGCGTACGGCGGCAGAACTATGGAAAGGTGGCAGTATATCCCTGGACAAACTCTTTCACAAGGAGCTTTACCACCTTTGCCATAATGCACCATTTGCCAAGTTTTATAGAAATCATTATCGGACTTGTGTTCGCTATCTAATTCCCGTGGCAATTTTTATTTTTTAAATAATCGATTTTGTTATCGTGCAATATTATTTAATATTCGAATATTTTGTTGTGAATTACTATTTAATAATTACACGATAATATACTTGAATATTTAAATAATAAAAATTGCCACGAAAATTAGGTAGTGCACACACTAGTCTGAGAGTGACTGAGTAACGGACCCCTTCAAATTTGAAGAAATTAAGATACTGTGGTACCCCTTTCCAACAAAAAAAAAATCGCTATTGGTTCCGAAAAAAATACAATCGAATACGGAACCTCCTCATTTTTGAAGTCTATTAAAAACTACGATTCACTTATTAGTCGTTCATTAAGTCTTGTGCAGCGACTGCTCCACGTTGACAAGATATGGCTACGTGGCGTTATAAAAAAATAGATATACTGTCAATTTGATGAAAAGTACGAACCAACTAGTCTGAAGTGCTAGCGAGAACCAAGGAGTCATTTAGGCGATACTGAAAGTACAAAGGTTTAGTCGGTAATTGTTTCTTTATCTGGCTTTCGTAAAAATATAAATGAAATAACGTCAATGAGACAAATAAATGGGCGCAACTTTTCCATCTCATTTAAAATCATGTAATAGCTTTTTTTTTAAATAGTTTATTATTACTCAGAGATTATGAAGAATTTTGTTTTATTGAGGTGCTTGTTAATAATTTGTGATCAACATTCGTTTTTCATCATTTTTCAATATCGCCACACAAGCGTTTTTTAGCGGTTCATAAAAATTTGCTCTAATCCGACTGAAAATGTCATGTACGTGTTTGATAATTAATTGCGGTCAAAATTTATTTTTCGCCATTTTATAATGTGGCTGCCATTCACCTCGCAATCTAAACCCGACCACGCGCCGCAGGCCCATGCTAAATCCACCATAGGTGGAGCACAGCCTCGTTTTATGTAAGAACACAATTATTTTAGTACAATTGTAATTTCGGTCTTGTTTTAATTAGGTTTAGTCGTTTTGTGTTACCTTGACTATGTTAAGTATTTAAAACCAGCTCTCTGGTTTCAGCTGGAACCTCTCAGGTTCCAGCTGAAAACCAGCGCTGAGGCTCTGCCCTGACCTGAGCTGGCTACACTTTTCGACTATTATTACGTACTTTAGTTCATTTCATGTCATGATATGTTTGAAATGTTATTGTGAATAGCCGTCTAATTTCCTTAGTAATTTTTATTATTTAAGTGCTCGAGTATATTCTCGTGAAATATTAAATAAAAATTCATGATAATATTCTAGAATATTGAAATAATAAAAAATGCCAGCGAAATTAGATAGAGAAAACTAACCTGAAAATTATCCGAATAAATGTTTCTTTCTTTCTTTCATAGACAGCTGAAAATGACTTGTAATTTCAATAACTGAGTACATCAAAAGATGTTCCGTAAAGTAATTTTCTTAATAATACTCCTGTTGTCCTCCATTTACCTGCATAACTCTGAATCCAATCTAATATTATAAAAGTGAAAGTAACTCTGTTACGTTTTCAACATAAACTACAGAGCCTATACTGATGAGTTGTGATATGGAGATAGACGGGAACCTAGGAGAAGGCCATAGGCTACTTTTTGGCACAAAAATAAATCTTAAATGGGGTAAAATAGGGGATGAAAGAGCGCGTGTGTGAAGACGTTGGAAGGAAAAGGGAAAGACCGCGTGTTTGCGCTTATTATTCACGCGCGCCATCGCGCACTCCGACACGCAGTCTATCCTGCGATATTAGCCTTTATATGGACGCTCTTTCGGTTGTAACAAAAACAAACACGAGCAATCGCGAGGGCTTTCCCGCGCGCAATCCCGTACGCTCCTGATCACGCGTGATAGAGTGACTGTGTAAAGCGGGCTATTGACAAAAACATTAACCGAAATCCTACAGCACCTTACACAACATCGCAACTTAACTAACTAGCAACAAAGTAGACAAAAATAAAACAAATTAGTTTATTCAACATGTTACGAGGACCCCCGTAAACTAAGCCGACAACTTTTGCCTCGAGGGGATCAGAGCATTACACACAAACTCCGGATTACCAGTTTAGAATAGAAATGGATGGTGTTGGTGTCTGTTTCTGAAGTTGGAAATCTATTTTAACTTAATCACCTTGAAACAGGACTGTAATACATTACACATTTTAGACTCATTTATTCAGTGTATATGTACACATTGATTTTTTTAGTTGGACTCATACAAGTATATGGACACACACCTACAACTATACACATATAAACACACTACATATTAGACACGCCACACACACACACACCACATGCTCATGTAATGTTTCACCACGGTGTTTTTTATTTTTATTACACCGAAAAGCTCATGGTAAGTTTGAAATTAAATTTCGCTCATACATTCTGAAAAACTCAGACGTGTGAGCCCGAATTCGAACCTATGGCCTCTGCATGAGAGGCAGTAGTAGGCCAAAGCATTAGGCTGCACCTATACGACATAGCGTCTCTCATCAAGTTTTATTATAAAACTACTGCGTGCTCTAATGTTCTATCTCATCTTAAAATGTTCTTCGCATAACAATGCCATGTTAAGATACCATACAATTGTTTCAATAAACATTTTTATTATATCATGAAATTCGTTACAATTTTCCAACCACTCCCGTATAACTTCCTTCAAGAGATACGTTTGAAATTAAAGAAAGCTATGTTTTCTTTACCAATAAACATCCTTTCATCTGTTGATGTGTCTGTACGTTCAAGTGCATACAACTGTTAATTTTAATTTGTAAAGGCAATTAAAATGCCTACGGAATGTAACAGCCGCTCTTCCATCTATTTTATGTACTTATATCTTTATTGCTACTTTAAAACAGGAAACTCAAATACGTTTCTCTTTTTGTTACAGATTCTGAAGCCGAAGATGGGTGACACAATAAGAAGACTTTTCGTTTTAAATTTGGTAGTAGCCGTTACATCGGCAGATTTCACTGAGAATTGTCCCGACGAATGCAAATGCGTTTGGGCAGGTGGTAACAAACAAGTGGACTGTTCTCACGCACATTTCGACTCAGTACCAAAAAATATAAGCACAGACATTCAAACCCTTAACCTTTCTGGAAACCCAATACATGAAATTTCAAAAGAAGCTTTCGCAGAAGTTGGACAAGTTAATTTGAAGAAGTTATTTTTAAGCAATTGTCAATTGGAAGTAATACATAAACAAGGCTTGAAAGGTTTGGCTATTATGATTGAGTTGGACTTATCATTTAACAATTTGACTTCTCTTCATCGAGACACTTTTGATCCTATCGAGAAAATTAGATGGATATTTCTCAACGATAATCGAATTGAGAAATTAGAAGACGGATTGTTTAAGAATCTACCTTTCCTCCAAAGGCTTTATTTGAGCAATAATCGGATTGTACAAATTGGCGTAAAAACATTCATGAATGTTCCCAAATTTACTGATTTGAGATTGGATAGTAACAAACTGGAACATTTGAAGGTAGATGTTTTGAATACGTTATCCCTAACTAATTTGGATCTTCATGATAATCCTTGGCGTTGTGATTGTTATTTAGCGCCATTGAGAAATTGGTTTATTACCAAGAATTTACACCGAGTACCCATTGTCTGCGCTGAACCACCTAAACTTCATAAGACCGATTGGAAGAACTTAAGCACCAGTGACTTTGCATGTATGCCGAATATAGTCTATCCATCCACCAGTACAACTCTAAGATCTTCAGATACAAACATTACATTGTCTTGTCAAGTCGATGGCAACCCGCTACCAGAAGTGCATTGGGTATTCGACGGTCAGATTATAGATAGTCGGTACACGGGCGCAAAGAAATATTTAATAAGTGAAAGCGCCACAGAGAACTCTAAATGGTTAAATGTAACGATTGTGGACACAGGCGTTTCTGATAATGGAGACTACTCCTGCGTTGCGAAAAACACAGGCGGAGTAGATGAGAGAATGGTTGTATTAGCTGTAGCACATAATACACCTGGCATTGTGGTACCAACTGGAATGGACAATAATATGTTGCCAGTATTAATTGGAGTCTCTTGTACTGCCGCTATTTTACTCATCATACTTGTTATATTTTGTTGGTGTTGCTGTCGACGACGAAATTCGGAGAAAAAGGGGGATGCTTCAAATGGAGAAGCTTTGATCGAAGGATCAGTGATACCAGAAATGGAAAAGAGTTTAATTACTGCGGTGAATCCAGTTACAAAACCGCCAAGACGATACGATGTTCCCCCATTGATTACTAGTTCGGGGACCGAAATGTCGGAGCTGAACAAGACATTGCTGGACAATGATTCTGTTTTTGGTAAGCATACAATGATTTATTATTTTTTAGTCCGCATATACATATAACTTCATACTTTGTGTCGATAACTTCACCAAGTTAACAACTTAACTCGATTTATGTTTAAATAAGATTAAACAAATCAGTTCTTGTTTTTGTGACTTCGGCGTCCACAAAATATCCGTTGTTTGTAGATTAAAGTGTAAATTGATAAAATTGTAATTACATCGAGCAAATTGGGTTAACGTTGGTAAACAAATTAATTCTACGAATAAGAAACAAGCAGGTTATTATACCCAAATGCCGTTATGCTAATTCGGGATTACAAGAATCCATTAAACTGTATTTATTTTGTGCATTTTATGGAAAATTACGATGCCTTAAATGTTTATTTTGTATTTTCAGCTCACAATGACGACGAAAGGCGGTCTTTGGACTACGAACATCAGAAAAGATCTCAAGATGCGCTCAATGTTGAGTATGGACGTGTTGATGGAAGAGCGTATCCACCCGACTTGTTATCATTCCCGGCGAGAGCCGCACAGATATCCCCAGCAGCGAGTAATGCTTCAACAGTACCTGATACAACAAGACTACCGCTACAAGTGAATCCAGTTAGCCCCATTCATTCCCCCATCTACGGAATGACCAATCAGAATTTGTTCAGAACGCTGCCATATTCAAGATCTCAGTCTCCTTTCACAGCACCTATCACTCCACCGGTCATAACTCCAAGGCAGGGATATGTAACTATACCTAGACGACCAAGGGTACCCAGTTGGTCTAGTACAGCGAGCACACAAATTCTACCAAGCACAGAGGCCCAGGAACCGTTGTACGATAATCTGGGTTTGCGAACGACCGCTGACGGCAGCTCGGTTCTATCTTTGAACAAGGCTGGATTGGAGGCTCAGTTCTCTCCGATGAAGAATAGACCTTTGCCTGCAACCCCGCCAGTATATCAACCACCTCATCCAGTTTTTTATGCACCCATAGAGGAACAAGAGCCTGCACCTTCTCCTGTACCAAAAAGTCCTCAGTATGTGGGCAATCAAAGAAACAGCGTCACATCTCAGCTATCAACGCCTGGCCCTCAGGAACCCGTGAGCAGGATGAGTTGGACTGCAAAGAATACTTCAACTCCTCAGCATGAGCCTCGAAAGCCGCTGTTCTCAGATAGAAGTGATACTCAGTCACAAGCTTCCGACAGTAGTACTTTGAGTCGGAAAGGCAAACCCGAAACTGGATCTTTAAGAAGACTACCTAAAGCGGAAAACGAAGAGATGAAGTCACCATCGAAAGAAGGTGAAAGAAAAAACGAAAGCGTTGCACCCCCTAATCAATCAGGTACATTAGGAAGAAGCGGGAAGATTCCTCCCAGACCCCCGCCGAAACCTAAGAAAAAGCCTAATCCTGAATTGAATAATACTACAGAACCTTTGTTTGAGGACGAAGGTGAAGATGGTACAGAAGTGTAGTGATAACTCTGCAGTACAGTGAGTACTACCAAAGTGCCAATGAGCTTGTAGTGAATAAACAAAGTGATATCAGTGACAGACGAAAGTAAAGAACAAAAATAATATGAATTTTAATCATTTGTTTCGCGGTGCTCGTGTAAATAAATAACGTGTGTGCTAGATTTTTTACCTACCTACGTACAAGATAAATCATTATGGACCATTTTGTAAAATTGTAAGCTCTAGTTTTACACCATGAGTTTGTACACGATATGTTACATATTTTAAGTATTTATTTGTTATCATCAGGTAGCTATTGAATTTGCTTGCCAGTGTAGGGGCATCTTTTCATCCATTTTCAAGACTGATTTTTTTCTAAATTAACAGATTCCTTTGACATTCCTTTTGGCTTGCGTGAAATGTAAACAATTGAATAGGTCAAGGTAAGAATTAGTTAAGTCTCAGTTCTGTTAAAATAACAAGTATTGCGAGCTATAATACCTCAAAAAGTTCCTTATCTCATTTTTCCCTTAGGCCTTTCAATAATAAAAATATTTCATGTTTTATCCAATCTAAGTTTGTGAGATCGACGCTAAACATTTACTTTTCTTTCCAGAATATTTCATAGATTGCTAGAACAGTTTGCTTGACTCGAATGACTTCAGAAGACTGAATCACTTTGTAACTGTTGAGGATGTCAACAGTTTACCCAAAGTGACTTTTGGCTTTGTAATAAAACTCTTTTTGAGCTGTTTAACATTCAAGTAATGTTTTGTAATGTTTGTTTAAAAAGAATACAATGGACGGGTCGGTTTTTCATTTGGCTAGAAAATGAAAGCTGGCTTTTTGTTCGTTCAAAATATTTAAGTTAAATTTAGTTTTACTTAAAATGTATTATTCTACATTACGGTTATAATACACACACAAATCAGAACAGTATTGGAAGGCCTCTATCAAATATAGTTCGTGTATTATTTAAATAGGTCTATTGAACGATGACCTTACTTTAATGTTAAACAGTAAAGTATCAAAACCCTAACATAATAATATCACTAAAATATTTAACTTAAAACTCTCCTAAGTTAACATAATTTTAGTTTTAGTAACTTTGCGCCGTATACTGTCAAATTAACTTCTGGCAATTCTTGAGATAATGTAAGTACGTACATGGTTCCTAAACTATTCATTTTACCGAAAAAATATTATTTGTTACTTTACAATAAGTACTTTTTAAGTAACGGTTAAGTTGGATTTAAGTTACTGGTGCTTACGATGTTCTTTTTTAATATGACTTATACAAAAAACTTGTTTGCCATTTACTTGTGCGTGCTTATGTATTTATTATTTTTAATCATGGATTTCATAGTTAGGTCACCAAGTACATTAAAAAATATGTTTAAATGTTTTTAACTACAAGTACGTAGACTTATGAATTTAAGTTTAATATGGACAGTTTTGTCTTAACCGACTTCAAAGATGGGAACCTCCCATCCACGTGTATAGTGCTTGCTGACAATATGCAAAGTTTCAAACTCGGGTTTTTATGAATACACTTCATATTTACAATATACCTACAGGGTTATTTTTAAAATGCTAACAACCTTTCAGAACTATTATATTACTAATATCATAAACAACTTTTGTTGCTTGAGTTTTCGCAAAACATAATATATTTATCCATAATCAACTTTTAAGTTTTTATTGTACTATCTGTACCTTCTGACACTTTTTAAATCTATATTTGGTAGTAAGGTAAGTTCAAACGTGCAAGCGTCCTCCGCGACGACTTCCACCCCCGACCTGCACAGAAATAGTTTAGAGCGATCTGTTTAAACATATTAAGTGAAAAGTAAGTAAGTAAATAAGTAACATCTGATGAATTATTATAATAATAATAGTAACACACACACTCAACATGGGAAACCTGTGTCGCGGGTGCCATGGACACACACAGACATAGACAACCACAAACTCACGAGAGAAATAAATGTAGGCCATACAAATATTTCTCCCGGCCCAAGAATTGAACCTGGGATCTCTGCGTGGCATGGTAACCTTTCGGCCACAGAGGCAGTTAATATAAATATAAGTCATGGAACAAAAGTTGTTGTTTACGATGCTAGTACTATACTCCTGTGAGGTTATTAGTATGTTACAAATAACCCTATATATGTATAACCCTTTTTATTTTACTCGACATTGCGATTATCAGAATTAGTGTAAAACGCGAGAGCTTAAAAAATACTAACAAATTGATACTAAGACCGAATAAACTCAAGGAAAAATTCCTTCGATCGTACTGGATTTGCATCAGCGGTATTATCATGACCATACTTACTTATGGCGCCGAAATATGGCCGCTCACAAAGGAATACACACACTAAATCAGAGTAGCACAAAGCACCGTCGTCCGTCTGCCGCGTTATAGTTAGCGGACGACAGCATACTCGGCATTTCCCGTGTCTACGTGATGGTGGCTGGGAGACTCGCACAAAACCGATTGAGCTGGCGTGCAAAAGAGGAAGACTGTACCCAGCAGTGGGTGTTAACGGGCTGAGATGTTGATGTTGATAATGATCGCTCTCCTAACTGAGCTAGTTTAAGTTAAGACCAAAAACTAAGATCTGTAACTGTCGCTGGTTCCAGTCTTGACTTTGTTCTATCTTTGTATCAATAATAATAACAAAAAATACTAATAAAAAACCATTTCAACAAAAATGCTTTTCGTATGGCGCCACTGTTGAATGGTGGTAGAGGCTTAAAAAATAATGTACTATACAAGTTACAAATTCTAAATAATAATGTACAGATCAATTTTGGAATCTTAAATAATAATGTACAGATAAGTTTTGGAGTCCTGAATATGAATGTACTGTTCAATTTTGGAATCCTAAATAATAATGTACAGATAAGTTTTGGAGTCCTGAATATTAATGTAATGTTCAATTTTGGAATCCGAAATAATAATGTACAGATAAGTTTTGGAGTCCTAAATAATATTGTTACTGTTCAATTTTGGAATCCTAAATCATAATGTACAGATAAATTTTGGAGTCCTGGATAACAATGTACAGATAAATTTTGGAAAGCTAAATAATGATGTTCGATTCAATTGTGGATTCCTAAATAATAATGTACCTACCCCTAAATTTTGACTCAGTAACGAAGTTCTAAGTGCTCGGATGTTTATCTACGATTTATCCACTTTCTATATTAATCTTTTTTGAAATGTAAAAAGTCTTCAAGTATTTAATTTATAATTGAAGAGAATATTAAGGCAAATCATTTGACAGTTTTCAAAATCTTACCTTATTGAAGTCGGTTATTAAAAGTCCATTTAATAATTATACCATAACGAAACTATGAAATTATTTTTTGTGACTTCTGTTATTATTTTGTTGTAATAAGAACCCTATCATGTATTCATTATGTTCAAATGTACAATGTACGATATTTTTACAAAGTTTACTGTAGACTACAAGATTTTTTATAGTTTTAAGGGCTGTAAATTCCAACAATATTATTAAAAATGATTAAAAGCTATATTTCGTAAACTTGTTGCATTTTTGTTCTCATATACTTATTAATTTTCTTATAACTTGTCTCAACTTATTTATATCGAACTACAGAGCTCGGGTCTTATCTACAGGGCTACAGGTCACCACGGTGAACATTGCGATTTGGAGATATCGTATTGTCCCCTTAATCCAAAAATTTTAAATGCGTCTGTAAGTCTGCACAGACGTACTTAAAATTTTAATGGTAAAACGTTATTGTTTGAATTTAATGTACCTCGCCATGATATAAATAATTCATTTTCATTATAATTGTCCATTAGCGTTTTAAGGGACGAATGTCTTCGAATACAAACTTTCAACAACTGGTTTCCTCACAAAATAGTGTAGGTAGTTAGCAACCTTTATACATCTTTACATTACCGCTGAAAATAGGTCCTAGCAAATAATATAGGACCTTGCGCACAAATTAGGTATTTGCAACTAAATAGGTCCTGGTTAATAAAATAGGTCCTTGCAAGTAGGGTTGGGGCTTGTATTTAAAATAGGTCCTTTCAAATTTTTTTATTATTATTTGTTTTTTATTTTTACACAGTTACAAGATACAAATTATATAATACAAGTAAAACTATGACACTAACCAGAAACAAACAAACTTGTAGCTCAATAAAATGTAAATAACATTTTTCAACGTAATTAATGTAACTAACTATGTCAATAGAAAATTAGAAAATGTGTATATACTTTAAATAAAATTACTTCACCCTGTGTTCACGTACCTTCTTGCAATCTGGGCTTTTTATAATTTTTATAAATGTTTTGGCGCTCTGGTGGAATATATCAAGATCTTTACAGAGCATACTGCCTGCATAAACGTATGAGAAGGCTGAGTGACACATTATTTTTTGCAGAAAGCACCAAAAACAAATGTTGCCTACGGTTTGACCTATTATTATATAGTTTGATTAGTGACCTTCAGTGAAACATGGCTCATGATATCAGTATCTAATTTGGATAAATAATTTTGTCTTTTTAAAATTAAAAAAAAAATTTAATATAATTTAATAACTATTAGTGAGCCTTACACAGACACTATCGCGCATGATTGAGCGCGCGTGTAAAGACGTTATAAAGAAGAAGGGAAAGACCGCGACATTGCGCTTTCAAGTTGCGCGCGCAATCGCGCACTCCAACACGCGCCGGTTTCACGCGGTCTATCCTGCTCTATTAGCCTTTACGCGGACGCTCTTTCCGGCGTAACAAAACCGAACACGAGCAATAGCGCGGGAAAGAACGTTAGCTTAATTTTCAAACAGGCAATCGCACGATTGCGCTTGTAAGCATTCTTGTATACCCCTGATAGAGTGACTATGCAAAGGAGGCTATTATTAGGGCAGTAAATTTTTGCAAAAAAATAGACATCGAGCGATAAGCGAAGGTTCAGCGTCATAGGTTAGCAATATATTTGGTCCTCGCGTAAAATGATTTGAGCACATTTGTGAGAAAATTGCACATTAGTTCTGTATTTACTACAATGATGGGCTATCTTATACGACAGAGAAGGAAAAGTGGAAACGTGGGCGAAGACGAGCGAAAATAAGTTATTTTGACCAAATAAAAAAACTACGGCCGCGTAGTATAAGGAGATAAAGAAAAAGCTTTTTAGACGGCGTTTACTACACTGCCAAGTGTTTAGCTCTTAAATCTAAAAGAGACTGCCCCCAGGAAGAAAGAAAGGCACGAGTAGCAAATCCAAAATTCGGAGATACAGGAGTCAAAAAATTTTCTCTAGGTTTTTCTGATGAAAAGATTAGGTAAAATAGATTTTATTTATGTTTAATATATACAAGA